TATTATATGATAATACTTTTCCAATTTACATACAAATTCGACTTAAGGACAGACCTTGGGAACAGAACTTGTTCTTAAACTGGGGACTACCTGTATTCACCTCCATCGCCAACAGTTCCACCCGTTTTGCTGACATTACCACATAACTGCCATGTTTCTCTTGCAGCCCTTAATGTTCAGAAACGAAATGGGCCCCTCAGCACAAAACCATTTGAAGGAATGCAGGCAGAGTATCCCAAAGTCACTATTCATCATTTTAAAATAAAAGGATCAGAAAACAAGCAACAGGGAAGACCACTCCTGGACATCTAGTCAGTAGCCAATGGTCTGATCACCTACGAAGCAGTTTCTTACTGCCTATGAACCACATCATGTGGGGAAGGTTAATGATATAGCTGCTTCCATACAACATTGATGTACTTAGACGATCCACCTTCTTAAATACCACAGAAAGCAGCACAGGATAGACACGGGATACTGGCACCAATATTCGGCTGGTAACATATGGATTTTGTCTTACACTTGGGAAGGATTCGTGAGAAAGTGCATTTACTGTGATCTCCAGAAATACTAAATACGGTACACCTGTCTTATGTGCATGTTTTAAAAAGGAAACAAGCAAAATAAGCTATTCCATCTCCCCTCCTGGTTTCAGCTTTTGCAGAAGAAAGCGTTTTTGTGCTCTTTAAAAATATTCTCCATTTAATTGAAGAAAACCATTTTCACAGGCAGGCTAATCCATTTCAAAATACACTTCAGTGTTTCAGGCGTGTTACAAAACCATCTCTCTACAGAAGAGCATATGCCCGTGTGAGGATAGCTCTGTGGAGTCCCTGAGCCACATGCTTTTCTGTTGCTCTCTTTACAGGGAATCTCAGATGACATTTATCTACCCCATTTCAAAGAAAAACCCTGGCAGAGAGTTTAACGCTTATTTGTTGCTCCTTCTATCCAACCAGGACTCTGACGTATATTCACAGGCTGCCTGCTTCTGTGCCTCTATTTGTTCTACTTGTCCCACTTGTGACTGAAGATTAGTGCTAATCTTGGTGATCATCACTAATATTTGCATTATTATTATTGTTGTTGCTGTTTTTATTATTTTAATTGTATTTTATGATCACTTTTTATTTGTATCTATAGATTTTAGGTGTATGCGTTTCTGTCTATATATCTGCTTTACATATTTGAGATATATTGTGTTTTCTGGCTTAAAGGCCATAACAGAAAATTCATTGACTTCAATGCTTCAAGCTACTAATCTGCACTATTGCTGGACTTTATTACTACACAGAAGTGTAATTAAGACTGAATATGGTCTTGAAAAATGCTCTGATTGCATCATTACACTTACATGCTTCTGAATGATTACTGAATATTGTATTTGAATACAGGTGGTCCTCGTTTAACAACCACTTATTCAGCAACTGTTTGAACGTGTCACGCCATTGAACAAAGTTACAACTGGTCCTTGAAGTTTCAGCCAGTGCAGTGCCCCTGCAGTCACATGATCACAATCAAGGTGCTCGGCAAACGGCCTAGATTTCTAACCATCACAGTGTCCTGTGATCACACTTTGCAACCTTCCATGCTGGCTTCCCACAAGCAGAGTCAATGGGGAAGCCAACAGGAAGTCAGAAGTCGCAATCATGTGAGGTCCTTGCTTAACGACCCACATGGTCCTCACTTAATGATGCTAACCAGGGACTGCTGGAACTGCTGTCACTAAGTGGCATGGTCATGTGACATCGCACTTTACAACTGCATTGTTTAGCAACAGAAATTCTGGTCCCAATTACTGTTGTTAACCAAGGGTAAAAAATACAAATATCACCCTGAAAAAATATATTGTACTTTAACACAGAAAGGGATGGAGAATGTTCTCATAACTGATTTGCTGCTAAGCTTTGAACAAGCATGCAGCCTGGTATTTCATACCTGTGACCAACACAAGCTGCACTGGGCTACTATGTTTTTACTTTGAAGAAGAACCATCTTCAAGGACCAGATCAGATGTAGCAATGGCAAGCTTGGGTCATACTAAATTCATATAAAGTGGGATGATTTATTGCTGAGGACTGACAAAGGAGGACGTTTCATTAGTGCTTCTCTTGTTACAACTGCCCCAATCTATTTCCTCTGCTTTCCAGAGCGGCTTGTTTGTGATTTGAGTATATGCGCTTTCCTGACAGAAGTGTAGGGAGGAGTTAAGAGCACAAAGGTGCTTTAAGTCATCCTTCTCCAAAGACACTTTATATGGATTCAGCGATGACTCCATTTTGGCCGACATGATGTCTGGTTAAGCTAAATTCAATTTCTTGTAGCAAAGCCTCTTTGTGTGGATGTATGGATCACAACAAGTGAATAAACATACACACTCTTACAGAAAGTGCAGTCACTTGACATTATTTACAACTTAATTCACAATGCCCAAGCGATTTTCCTGTTTAGTGGCTGAAGAATGACCTCTACTTCATTAATCTTCCATTCAATTCTTATAGCAAAAGCATCTCAGGAAGGAAATGTTTGTGCAGAATGACAGGGGAAAATGCAGAAAGTGCCTTTAGACATTTAGCTATTGTAATCTGCCCTTGCCTCCTATGGATGGGAGCAAGAACATTAGGAAGTACTTTCTAAAGCCAAACTCGTTTCCCAAAATAAATGCATCTGTGAATCAATGATAGTGAAGTCTTGCCCCTAGAATTAAATACTGCCTATTGAACAGGAGAGTTCCAAAAAGCCATTTTGCCCACAAATTTCAGAGCCCCGCAAAAGGGTGGTGATCTGACTGCACTAGCTGTTCTTCTGCTGAGTAGCGACTGGTATTTGCCACCATTAAGTAAAGCTTTATAGATTATATGCACTGCTTCACTGCGGGCATAGGCAGGGGGACACACCAATATTAGGAGATGCAGCTGGCCAGTATAGAGCAGGGTACCAAATTACAAAATGGCCTGCATGGAGTTCTTTGGCCAACTAGTACACTGTCATGAATCTTGATCTCTCATCCATGGTTTCATACACACTTTTAAAAGATATGAATTTGTAATCTGATGTCAATCAAATCTGGAGGAGCAGAAGTCTTAAAAATATGCCAAAATTGCTCGTAGACATATTGAAAATCCACTGGGACCTGAAGAGCCATATTTGGTTTTGTTACACAAATTCCAAGGACTGAATCATAAGCTGCTATTCAATCACATCCCCCCAAAAAGCTGTCTAATCTTGGCAGTGATTAATGCAAAACCAGAAGAAAAAAAAATCTGGTTTCAAATACTTATCTTGCCCAATCAAATGTTGGGACTACAATCAAGACAGCTAACAGAAGTTATTTGCTAGCCATTTGCTTAAACAAAAGAAACAAATGTGGGGAATCCATGAGAGTCCGACCATAGTGGAAGAAGACAGAAGGCTGGGTGGAGGGACTGAAGCCTGATTAAGTGTGGCAGCTGAGTGTAAATGGTGGCTGCTGAGCAAAATGGAGGCTCTTTTATGAGTGATAGCTTACTTGGGAGTAAAGGCCTACTTGTAAGAAAGTCAAGAGAGGAAGGAAAAAGGTATGGCTTGAAAAAAGAAAGCAGAGCCAAGGGTAAGGTCTTGTGGGGGGTTCTTATTGCTCAGAGATAGAATCAAGAATTTAGGGGAGAAAGGGTACAATGGGAACAATGACGTCCCTCCACCTAAGGCTTAATAATTTATTCTCTCTTCCTACCATGTGACCTTTACACCTTCATTATTTTTACAATAATCTTTATAATAAGCAAGATGACTCTTCCTACAATTTAAGTTACAGCGACTGTTAATTCACACGTTTTTCCACACATTCTTCAGCACAGTATATACTATGCATGTCTATGTGAGAAAGTTAAATAGGAAAAGCAGAGGAGAAAAAGGCCTATCAATTGGTGTTTGTAAACATTTCTCAACTCTCCCCTCTGCCATTCCTACACAAACTATATCACACTGGAAAAAAGAAATCCAGACACTATTCGATTCTTTTTTTAAGGTGATGTTTTTTAAAAGGGAATACAAAAAAGGTGATTTTGAATGAAAAGCACCTAATTCCAAGGAAACTTTAGCAAAATGTGACAAAGTTTAATGTGCAACATTTGAATAGAATTGCTTTTTGTGAATTTCATCCCACAACATTTCCAAACATCTGTAGCTTAAAATATAATATGAAAGAGAGATAAAGAAAGAAAATTTTAGATTACATTATTTAAATGTTCTGTAAGTCACCCTGGGGAAATTTTGATTTAAAGGGTGGCAAAAAAGTCATTAAGAAATAAATTTAAGTTTGTTTATATGTATGTACTATATTTTCCTTAAATCATAATGCAAACATTCTGGAGTCCTGACAGAATTATGCACATAAAGCTTACATTTTTTAATAACAATCTAGTTGTTGGCATTAGAGAATCCCAAAATATTGCACACATCTGGATATGGTTGGGCAAATGCAGAAAGGATTAAACATCCAGGCAAGTGAAAAAGTGAAAGGTGGGGGGGGATCACTCTGGTTCCAAGTTCTATGTATGTAATGAAGGGATGTGCTTGGAAGAATGGGGCCTATGCCCATCAAGACAATACATCTTGAACTGATTCTTTTTTTTGGGGGGGGGGAGAGAAGTAATCCTCCTAGTGAATTGAATGGGAATTAGAGCTCCTGTACTATTTACTTAGTTACAGCCAAAGCCTGTTGAGGATTCACATAGATCGTTCTGAAACTCCAGGTTATGGCACATGAGGATTTTTCCAGGCCAATCCAGCAAAATGCTTAATTACTGCCTCAAGGCAATGATTCTTGGTAGCAGGCTTTTATTTCACTGATTTTGCCCAGGCACACCCAGATTTGGCCTGATATCTGCATCTGCATTTAACATATGGACTGTCCTTGCAGTAGACAAAGCTGGATGTTTCTCCTGGCCAGAAACATCTTGAAACTATAAATAACAAATACCAAGCCTCTATTCAGCACATGAAAGCTCAGAGGTACTCACCCTGCAAACTGGGCATTGCCAGTGACTACTGCTGTCTCTAAGCCTGAACTCATCAGATAAACACTTGGAATGATATACACGAAAACACAGGTCACATATCAACACCTCTCCAGGCAAATGGCATTCAAAACAATACCAGTCATGAGTTTCTGTCTCCCAGTCCTACAAAAAATACAAAATAATTTGATAGAACATTCTGTCAATATCTGAAACAGCCATGAATAAAGCACATTTCTTGAAGTCTAGCAATTGTTAGGCATTTTAAAATATGGTACCTCTTTCATGGATTATACCTTTTTTTTTCTTTTAAATTCCACTCTATAAACTTCAAGCATACTGGTAACTGAAGTGCTACACTTTTAGCTTCTAATAAATGCTGGGGTTTAAATCATGGAATGAGCATGTCTGGTCAGCAGCATGAACACAACACTTATGTCATGTTCCCAGCATTCAGATAAAGAACTCCACCCTCACCCCCAAAATGGTTTCTTATCTTACGTACTATAAGATAAACTCTGAATTTCAACGAAGCCCCAATTACCTTTAAACGAAGGCAATGGGATTCCTTCCTCTGCTTTAGGCAAATGAATTGTGATATTCAACCATCTGCTATTCTATTGGTCCTCTCCTGAGTCTGGTCTAACTCTTTTTCCTTTTGAAAGGGTGAATAAAATCCCCGTCCAGATGTGGAATTCTAAGGAACACGGGAACCCCATCAAGCGCTCATCAGAAGCAGTTTTGGGAATTGCTACCCCCTTTTCCAGGGCTTCATTTTGTTTGGTTTTTTAGCAGGGAGCAGGAGGAATAAGAGCTGTCCCTGCTATTCCATGCACCAATTTGTCCACAACAGCTGTGACACTTCTTCTGAATGCATCAATTTATCAGTTGATCCTACAGTGGATCTTCTCTGATTAGACAGAAGAAACAGCCTTAAAAAGGCAGCAATAGCTGCTGAGGTCAGAGTAATATGGCAAAATCAAAAGCAATGCATGTTTTATTATTTGCTCCCCTCCCTGGACCCCCGTGGCTCTTCCTCCTTTTCATTTCTTTCTCTAAGCATGTGCAAAGTGCTGGATCATCTGTGAGTGCATGCTGAACCCAAATAAAAGAAGAATCCCTCTGTTCCTCAGAGTTCAGACAGGACTCCTTTCTATGCAAGTGTCATGTGAGCAGGAAAATGCTCAGCATCACTTGTGATATAAATTATACATAATGGCCAGTTTTAAACATTTTTCGCTAGAGGCAAGGACTCTAAAAGCTGTTCTGCCTCCTTCCTACTTCCAGATCACCTGGAAGTACTTTGTAATTTGGTTTTGCTCTGATTGAATTTTATATAGGTTCTTATTTCTTCATTAAAATTTGCTGACCTGTATGAGAATTTAGAGTAGAACAGAGAAATGAATCGGAATTGACCCACTAAACAGCTTATCCAATCTCCAGGGCCCTGCAGATGTATTGATCTTACAATCTGCAGAATTCCCAACCTCTCAGAGTTATGATGGTTGAATATTCTGGGAATTATAGTTTTAATACAATTATGAGGTTGTGGGAAACTGCACCAGGCCAAAGCAAAGGTTCTTGCAAGAACAGAGCACTCCTGCAAATTAAATGATACAAGTCAAATGCTGACAAGAAAGTTAAAGTTTGCAAACTTGCAGGAATGTACAAACAGAGCAGAACAAAACACAAATCAACTTTAAAATATGGCAGTTCAAGTTCAAGCAGCTTCATAATTTTTGAAACATACCTTTTCCAATTTGATTTCAATGAATCCAAATATTGGAATTTTGACCTAATTTCAGTCTTGGTCAGGGCTGTGGTCCTTCAAATGTTTGCAACTGTGTAAATGAAGCCTAAAAATACGATGTCTCAAAACAATGCAGAACAAAGTAAGAACTGCCTCTTTCCAACTCACTGATTTCCTAATTTTCCTCATAATGGGAATAATCTACCTAAATGAGCATATCTGTTAGTATCAGTGTTTCCGAAGAGTAGAATTAATTTCAATGTTCTTCAACTGCTAATACTCACACACATTTAGCTTTTACTGTCACATATGAATAGCGTGCATCATCACTTGAACTTAAAGTTGAAGCCATCCTTAGTGAAGTCTCACCAGAAAAAAAACCGCTTACTGGTTTTTATGCTACAATTTATGAAATAAATGTTCTAGGGGCACTTTTCAACTGTAGGCCAAGCAGTCTAACGTAACTACAAAAACAACACAAATTGTTCTTTGGGAAAATAAGATTATTAAGGAGTGTCAACATACCAACAGTTTTATGTAGCCCCTAAGACTCTGGATGCCCTTCTCAAGCTCTGTACTGCTTTGGATGGCAAAACATTTTGAGCTCATTTTGATTCTTTAAGCTACAAGGATAACTACAGAAGTTGTAAGTTTCTTGTTATACACTGAAAGAATATGAGTCTTCCCAAAACAGTAAAAACCGGCTTTGGGAAATAAAACACCACAGAATAATCAATTCCTTTAGGATAGTAATTTTAAATATTTATTTTACATTTATTTATAAATCATATGTGAGTTATTAATGCAATTTCTTTATATGAATAGGAAGATTTTCCATTAGGCCAAGTAAACAGAGGCTCCACCCTTATCTACAATCAATCTGAGTCCAACCTAAATGAGCAAACCTTTTAATCTTCTTCCAATTCCACAGTAACTAACCTGCAGGTGGTAGCCTTCATAGACATACTGCATGTTATAATTTTCATTGGCACTGTTCTGAGATAATTTATGATCTTAAACACAGAGGGCATAATCCATCACAACCCAGAACATGGTGTATGGTGGAACACATTTAAATGATCATGAATGCCAGATTCCCACTTTTTCCATTAAAAGAAAACTACCATATAAGGTGAAATAAAACCCTTCCTAGAAAAATGTTTACATTGATATATGTTGTTTTTAAAATCACTAGATCCACTTGGAGATGTCAGTTGATGATACTCGGTACCCAATTTTTTGTTCCTACTTTGAGAGAGTGTAGGTCCCATTCATACAGAGATATGTTTTGTGTGAATACACACTATTCCACATCTATGTCTGCTGTGATACATAGGCATACAAAAATACTAAGCCTGATTATGAGTTTGATGATGTAACAGCACTCATAATTCATAAACTGGTCTTTTGTATTTCATTTTCCCCTTGTGCTATCTTTTCCGTTTGTCAACTATTTCCTTGCTAGCTATATTAAATCTATAGAACTTGAGCTTTATAGTCAAAGTACAGTGGTACCTCTACTTGCGAACTTAATCCGTTCCGTGACTCTGATCGCAAGTCGAGTTGGTCGCAAGTAGAAGTAAATTTTCCCATAAGGTTCAATGTAATTACCGTTAATCCGTTCTGCCGTCCGCGTACCACGCGCCCGGGGAGGAAAAACGGCCGCTGACCACGCGGCAGGGCGGAAAAATGGCCGCGGACCATGTGGAATGGGCGGAAAATGGCCGCAGACCACGTGGCAGGGCGGAAAAACGGCCACGGACCACGTGGCACGGGCGGAAAATGGCCACAGACCATGTGGAACGGGTGGAAAATGGCCGCGGATCCGGTTCGTAAGTCAAGGCAAGTTCATAAGTAGAGGTATTTTTGGGGCCGGAGCTGATCGTATCTCGAAAATTTCATAAGTAGGGGCGTTCATAAGTAGGGTACCACTGTACACTTCAGAAAGAAGACAACATGCATGTTTTAAATTATTTGTTATATTATTTACCAAACTACCAGAATGTTAATTTTAACTAACCTTCTCATGCTGTACTCTTTTCTTTTTCTTTATGCAAGTTTGATTATCCAGAAAAGAGAATCTCATTCACAGAAAAGAAGCAATTACAAAATAAAAGGTTTGGGCATAATTCCATGATAAATCTTTTGTATAAAACCAACTGAAATGAAAGGGAACTACAAAATCTTTCCCTGCTCCAGTTAATTTCAGTGGGATTTCCACATGAGGATCAGTTAACTAAATAAAAAAAAAAGCAAAAAGTTAAAATTTATTGTGAAATCATTAATATGATATTACTAATAGCTGGCCTAGTATTTATTTATATCTTCTTGCTGTGCAAGAAGGATTTATAACCTAAGGATTTATAACTCCAAATGCACCTCTTATTTTTTTTTCTTTAAGTTTAAAGATTGTTTTGTTAATTGTGTGTGGGATTTTTTTAGTGTATTTAGGTGTTTTGTCATATTTTTTTGTAATTGATAAATACAATTTATTAAATAAAAAATAACAACTTCAAATCCTCATACACTGGATCTAGTTATTTCTGGTATGGTGCAGTCCTTGAGAATGTGCAAACTCTCCTGTTCAGCTGTCTAACACACTAAAGCTGACCCTACCCGTTACCCTCTTGGATTGGATAGATTCAGACACAGGTATTTTACGTGATAAAGTAATTTTTAACCATAAGGTTGAGTAGACTGGACACACAGTCTTTTTAAACAACTATTCACTGAATGATATTTACTGATTATAAAATCAACTTCAATGTGTAAAATCATAACTCAAGTATGAAGGGGTGGAGCTTATGTCATGAAATCATAGCGCACATTTTGTCATTTTGCTGTCATTGTGGTTAGGAACACATGCTTATGGATGGGGGGGTTATATTTCTGATGTAATCTCCTCTTTAAACATTAAATAAAGCAGGTAATTAATATATTGGGTTTTTTTAACTGAAATGTAACAGAGAAATCAGAAATTCAAAAATAAAATTATAGGAAGCAAAATAAATGGCAGTGTTAATGGAATGATTTTTTAATAAATTAACTCAAATTGTGTGTCCAACACTATTGTTTTAAAAAAACCAAAACCTGTGTTTTTAAAGATGTAAAGTCTGGACAAATGTTGGAACATCTGCAGAACCAGGGGTGTACAAGGGTATCTGCCACGTAATTTCCTTACATGAGACAGGAGGCATTTATATAACTAACATCTGGCAGCCAGTATTCTAATTATGATAAACACAAAAATTCTCAAAGTACAAGTATATCTTTTTCTGCATTTGCAAAGTCTTCCACCAGATGTCATCATCTCCTCCCAAAGTAACTGACAAAAAGGAAAGCATTGCAACTTTACATCTTGCGGCAAAACATGTGAGTGACCACTTCCAGCTCTCCAGGAAGGAGAAAAAAATAGTATTTTAACTGAAGTGCTGCAAAAGCAGACTGATTTCAAGAACTAGATAGAACATGGCTGATAAGCATTATTAAGTCAATTACCTGAAAACTGAAAAAGCAACATCTAATCTATCTTAATATACAACAGAAAAAGAGAATGTAACAGAGCGTATTTAAGACTACATAGTGCAAAAGTTGTTCACCTTGATTTTTGCTGTTGTCCGGGAGAAAGGCTGCATACTGTAGGCCTTTCAAAATAAAGAAAACAAAACAAAAACAAAAATATGGTCTCTGTATTGGAACCCATCTGAGGAACATAAACCGAAACCAGGAGGGAAAGCACACTATTATCAAGAGCATCCTCACTAAACATATTTCCCCCAGATAAACTCTATGGACTGGTTTTATGCAGAATGTTTTCCCCTTCTCCTTCTGTGCTCCTGAAAGCTTCCAAGCACTTAAGTTAATTAGGAAAACACACTCAAAGCAAAAAAAAGAAAAGAGCCAAAATGGTTCCACGTTTGTAATTTTTCAGCTTAGCAGAAGGATTAGCATTCTCAATTAATAGCCCCTAGGAAGAAAGACATGCTTATATCATAATGTACCACAATGGGGTCAACCTTAGAAAAATCCAAGAGGTGCTTTGTTTATGATTAGGTACCTAATTGTCTCCACGGTCTGTAAATAAAAAATATTATCATTATCCCCCCTTTTTAGAAGATAGCTGTGATTATTTATGGAACTACTATTAAGCAATTCCAAAATATACATTATAGTGTAAATTGGAAAATGTATTTTATGTGCAAAAATGAAAACTTGCAGGATCAGTTTACTAGAAGACACAGGGAAACAAAGAGGTATCTGACTATTATAGAAAATACTCTAACCCTAAAGGGGAAGAGGTCATTTTATGTACACCATGTATTAATTCTTTATTAAAAAGAAGACTGACAACTATAAAGTTCCAGTTATCATCAGTATTCCACAGTGCTTGATTTTTATTTTATTTTTTTTGTAATTCTATATATAATAAAACAGACTTGCCCAACTTCAAGCTGAACATATTCATCTAACCATCTATTGTGGCCTGGCAGGTACTTTCAACTTTGCTTGAAGTTTTGCAATTACAACAGGGAACATAGTAAATTTAGTAAGGCCAAGGGGATCTCCATCCATGGCTAGAAGACTACATTAGGGCATTGTTGGTTACAAAGCCAAATTCACTTGAGTCCAGGGCTTCTTCGCATTCTACAAGACTACTCTTGCATTTTATCTCTATTTTTATATTCCATTAGTTTTTATACATGCTTACAACTGGATCACAGTTAATGTATTTATAAATCATTAACCTTTCCTTAAACTTAGTTCACGGGCATCAGAAAGCTACCTAATATTAATGAACCTAAAAATATATCTTTGTGATCATAAGAGGAGCTGGTGATGCTTAAAGGCCAGTAACAAGGCAGTTTGGACAAATAAAAATTTGGAAACAAACAATGGTGAAAATGATGATCAAAAACTTTATGTATTCTGTACTGCTTTTCTGCAATGAACTGCAATTTGATGTTACTTTTTGGTAAAGGGATGAGAGTAGGCAAATGTTTAGGGCAGGCTTCCCGTTGTCACACAAAAGTAAGCTTTGCTAAACTAAAATATGCAAATCAATCCATTACAGAAGCTAAGCACAGTTTGCATCTATGTAACATCTTTCATTTCTAAACAATTTAATTATATGCATCCAAGAGATGCAAGATATGTATTATTAGTGTGGCATCTTTAATAAATAGAAACCTTTAAATGTAATATTTAAATGTAAATGAGAAGAGAGTGTATCTCACATCCTCGTGGATTTTTTTGAAACATACATTCAAGCCCTCTAATTAAGAACAGAGTTGTGCATATTTTACAATTTATGCAATGCAAAAATTAAACTGGCTACGGAAACTGGAATTGAGAATCTTAGTTCACTAAATCAAGGCTTCTTTCATGCATAGTGAAATTATTAAAGACAGGAGACAACTCAGTTAAGATTTACATTAGTAATGGGACAGCTACATTTCCAAGCCATATAACACTTACTGCCCCTTGGGGGATCTATCTGCAGCACAATCAGTGTGCAATCTAAGCCAACCCATGAACGTTCACATGATTTATACATCAGCTTTTCCATATGAAGAAGTTTGACTAACTTGGCATAAAAATCTGATTTATGTATGCGGTAGAAAATATACACAACTCTGATTACATGCAGTATGCCTGATATCATACGGGGTATTGCTAAATCTAATATTTCAGTTTGTTGCTCTTAAGTCTACAGCCTTTAGTTCAGCTCTACATGGTATGGTACTGTATCTCAGGATATGTAAATTAGACAACGAACATCTCAGTTGAAATGTTTTCTAGCTTATGTATTAAAAAATAATACTTGAATCAGGAAGTGCTACTTCTAATTTAAGTTATAAGATCCAAAAAAAACCTTTAAAAAACTGAACGGATATAACACTGAACAGAAATAATAAAAACTGGTTTGTTTTTATTTCTATGTATACTTGAGCTACCTGTCTCTTGATTACAGTGTCAGATAACTAATTTACAAATAACTTAGGATTCCATGCTTTCATGACCAAATTTAATTAAAAAAAATTAAAATAGCTAACTTTTCTAATCTGACAGTTTATCAGTAAAATAAGATTGAATAACATTTACCCAGTATATTGCTGTACTGAATGAAACTATAATATGGAAAAAAATTTAAAAAACAATATTTTAGAGTCACAGTTGGTATCTTTCTACTATATATTACCCAAACTGATAACATAACAGTTCATTTACAAGATATTCAGAATAACTAACAGCTGGAGTATTGCATCTATATTCAATGTCATCAGCTTGAGGAGTTGTGAGGAAGAGGCCCCCATCCATTGCTTATGACTTTTCTAAATCAACTGAAGGCCAGCTGAAAGACCTTGATAGAATTCATCTAACAGTATGTCCTAGTCCATGCTAATTTTTCGGACTTCTATGAAGATAAAATTAGTCATCCCAGTTTAAGCCTACACACGAAGCTTCCTAAACTTGTACCTAGAAGCTTCCCAAACTTGTACCTTCCCTGATACCATTCCAGGAACGCTTTGCAAAGAAAAAGAATTCTTTCTCAGGTCTTCAAAATTAAGTGCTTTCAAGATATCCTACTGAAACAGGGTTGTTGTGAAGTAAAATACCAATACTTGGTTTATATTGTGGTGAAACTGCTCCTCTTCCACTTTTTCCGGAAAAGAATAATGGGATGCATATGACAAGTTCTGGGTGCTGAACTTTCTCAACTAGCATGCCAAACAATTTCTTCATAAGCAGTTTTGGACTGCATCTCTTTGATCACACCTTATGTTGCTATGCCTTGAAATTAATCTATGTCTAAAAATGTATGTTTATAAATAACTATATTCATTTGGATGTATTTTTAAAAATACACTTCATTCACCTCTGAAGCTGTTATGCAGGCAATAATTACCTTTAATCTTAAGCATTCTGTGCTGTAAAACAAAACGCCTACAGCTATATGAGGTAATTAACAAACTAGCTTTCTACCTCATTTTACATTTAAAAAATAAAACTTTTCTAAGACTATGCACATCAATGGGTATTAAGAATTCCAAGTCAACATTCCAGGAAAGGTGATGGAAAGACTTGCAGAAAATATACTCACAATCTCATCTCCAGGCAGCCAGTATCCTTCTTGCTCAATACCAGCTTTTGATCCCTTACATCCGACAGTCAAGGTTTCAACAACAAGGCCATCCTTCACTGCTAAACTAAGCTGACGTGTGGTCTCCTTGGGATGCATACCATGAACCCGAGACATATACCTACAAAGAAAACAGAACGAGTGCTTACAAAACCATCTTACTGTCTGGATATTCTTTATGGGGCGAGTCCGACAATTTCAAAATTACGTAATATGTTTTGGTTCTTTTCTGGCCTTCCTCACCTCCCTTTATTTTAATATCTCTTAATGTTTTGCACTGCATATGAAGTATCAGCTACAAAAGTTTATTTAAAACTCAGTTGAGTAGAAAAGCGAGATGTAAATCAAATCAATCCCTCAAAATTCTAAACTGAAGGTTCCCAAGCCTGATCACAAATTAATTAAGCAAAGAAACAAGTCATTTTGGTAACACCTTCCAATGGAAAATAATTTGTAGGTCATGATGCAGATGTGTTTTTTTTCAAAATTCAGGCTTTGCTTTGTGGTGAGCAGGTGAAGGAAGGGAAGAATTGTCCTACTACTACACAAAGAAACAGCACAGTACTCTTTCCTCTTTTAGTCACTGCCTTTCAGTAAATGTCCAATGCTGGACTTACCATTCTACCCACTTTAAGAGCCACAGGTCTAAACCCAGAGGGCAAGTACTGCCAAAGACAACTAGCATAGTAAGTTCCATCAAAACACTGTTGACTGAGAACCCATTCCCCTAAATCTGTTGGAATGACATGTTATAGGGGACTGAACGAAAGAGTGTGCCATCAAAATTTTTACTGTAATTCATTAGCTAGCTAGCCAGAAATAGACAAATGGGGAACCACTAAATAGCTGATACTAGCCGTGTGCTTGGTATTATCTGCTAAAGGGTTTAAAAAGGCAAAATATTTGTGTATTTAATTTGTCAGATTTTTAGGCTGCCTGTTTCCAAAATGACCCTGGGAGCTTCAAAGAAACAACAACATTATATGAAAACTCAGCATTTGTCTGAGGGAACAACATAACACAACATTTTTCTACATCACCCTTCCTCTAACTAAAAAGGGCCCATCTGATACCTCCTATCCCAAGGCCTGTGGAATAAAACTAGTTCTTAAAAATTGTTTCAAGTTAGGCAAGGTGGGAGCCATATAGATCTCGGGGGGAAGCAGTTCCAAAAGTCAGGCAAAGAAGCAGAAATGGCCCACTTCCGAGGAGCCACTAGTTCAGGGTTTCTCAACTTTAAGATGTGTGGCAACTTTAACTTTAACTGGGGAACTCTGGGAGTTGAAGTCCACACATGTTAAAGTTGCTAAGGTTGAGAAACACTGGATTAGATAATGATGCTGAATTGACGAGACCAAAGCCAGCTAATATCAGAATTCTATATTAATATATATTATAACAATTTATAGACAATGCGTATCTATAAATGTTTCCTATTCTGCTGCTGTTTTAACAACTGCCAAGTTTTACCCTCCTCTATTAACTGTTCTATAAGGACTGAGGCAAGAGTCAGTGTTCATTCCAGTTTCTTAATATGCAGCAATTTCTCCTAGTCTTATTTATTTATTTAATACCACTACAATCTCAACCTTGTAATTCTAGATGGCTCACAAAACAAAAAAACATAAAAACACAGAATATCATAAAAACAAAATGCAACCAAAGAGAGAGCCAGTTTGGTCTAGTGGTTAGGGCACCAGGCTAGAAAGCAGGAGACTGAGTTCTAGTCCCCAGTTAGCCGTGAAAGCCAGCTGGGTGACTTTGGGCCAGTTGCTCTCTCTTGGCCCATGACGTTAGGCTTGGGTGACAAGCCGGTTGGTAAATTCTTGTTGTAACCAGTGGATCAACTTTCAGTTGATCTGAAAAAAACGGACCCTGCACCTGCAGGAAAACACTGGGGGGGGGGGAATGCAGCCAAAGCCCTTAAAAAACTAATTCACAATCAGAATCCCCATATATGTCACACTCCACTAACAGCCTGCCCCCAATGCCTGAAGAAGCCAGGTCTTCACGTCTTTCCAAAAGGCTAATAGTGTTAGTCTGTCCAAATCTCAGGAGGATGCTGATCCATATGACAGGAGCCATGAGAGAGGAGGCACGTTTCCTGGATCCCGCCAGATGGCACAGGTTCAGGAAAGGACCTGGAGTGTATTTACCCTGCCGTATCTGGTAGGACATATGGATATAACTAGGGACAGATGGCTCTACAAATAGTCTGGCCCTGTACTATGTAGTACTTTACAGGTGATAAACTGTGTGCTAATTCTGGCTGAGGGACTGCAACTCCATCCAGAATCAGAAATGGACTTACTGGGGTTGAGTTGAAGCCCATTCTTCCCCATCCAGACTCCAGAGTTTCCAGGCACTAGGAAAGAATCTTGACAGCGTCACTTAGACAGCCTGGTGCAGAAATATAGAGTACTTAAGCATGTGCCGATAGATGAGCTTATCCAGTGGATTCATGTAAATGTTAAATAAGAATGGAGACAGAGTTGTCTCTAAGGCAGGGCTGGACTTCTCCCCCCACCAGTACTGACTGGAGCCAGCCCTGGAAGGAGAAGAATCACCATAAGATAGTGCCTCCTGCTCCCAATTCCCTAAGCTCCCAAAGAATACTATGATTGATGGTACTGAAACAGAAATCAAAGAGGACCCGGATGGATGGACTACCCCTGTCCAGTGCCTGCTAGAGGTCATCCACAAGGGTCATCAGTACTGTCCTCATAGTATAACTCAGAATGAAACCCAACTCAAAATGGTCTACTAATTTATTTCCTCCAGGGATCTTTGGAGCTTGTAGGACTACTACCCTTTCAACAACCTTCCCCAAGAAGTGAAAGTTGGAGACCAGATTAAATTTTCCAAGTCCACTGGATCCAGTGATGGCCTCTTAAGGAGAGGGCAAACCATCACTTCTTTCAAGGCAGGCAGAACAGTCCTGTCTCAGAGAAGCATTCACTACCACCTGAATCCAATCCCATGTCACTCCTGTGACGCCTTGACCAGCCAGGTGGCACATGGATCTGAAACACAGGAGCAGAGCTTAGAGCCCCAATGACCCAGTCCTCTTCTTCAGGACTAACAGGCTCAGACTCTTCCCAGATTATCCAGCAAGTTAACTCCACGGACCTACACAGCTAAAATCCAGCTGTGTGTGAACCCAAGCAACTTCATCTGATAGATGCCTAGTCCTGGAGAAGTCAACTGTATCTAGAATCAGTTCATATATATAATATGTTTCACCCCAAAGAGCAAGGAACTCCAGAGGGAGATAAAGAATAGTTTTTGCCTGGCCAATATGTAATTGTAATACATTGAACTGAAAACTGAAAACTGTTTTTGCTATTTCTTTCAAAGAGCTACAAGAGCACATACATGGATATGTAAACCACAGTCTACCTATTAACTTACAAAGTAAGTTAATAATAATAAGAGCCAGTTTGCTGTACTGGTTAATGTGCTGAACTAGAAACCTGGAGACTGCGAGTTCTAGACCTCCCTTTGGCATGAAAGCCAGACAGGTGACTTCTAGTGATTGCCTGGACAAGGCCCTGCAGGTTTCTTGGCAAGATTTCAGAAGTGGTTTGCCCTGGCCTTCTTCCTAGGGCTGAGAGAGAAGGAATGACTCCAGGTCATCCAGCTGGCTTTGTGCCTAAAGTGGGACTAGAACTCATGGTCTCCCAGTTTCTAGACTGTCTTACCCACTACACCAAACTGGCCCTCTGGGCGACTTTAGGTCAATCACTTTCTCTTAGACCAACCCACCTCACACAGTTGCTGTTGGGGCAAAAATAGGAGGTTGGGAGCATTATATACACTGTCTTGAGTTGTACACAATAAAGGCAGGATAAAAGTCTAATACCAACAACACAAAAAAGTACAGCAAAAAAGTTATTTCATGTAAAAAAAAAAAACCCATGCAGAAAACAAAGGAATGACAAAAGGCAAAACCAAAAACGAACAAAAAATGCAATCAAAACCAGAAACATTCGTACAAACAAAATTATTAACAAGTAAATATACCCAACACTCTCTTCAGAAGTAGTGGTGTAACCGAGAGCAAGAAAATTCTCTTTTGCTCTTCATGGTGGCCAGATAAGAATAGAACAGAATGGTAGTGGTTGCTCTCCCTGGCCTTTGGCAAACACATAATGGAGCATGAATGCTTTCTTGAAATACCAACATTCTAGAACTTTCTGCATTAGCGACCCAGTTTCAATTAACCTCTTTTCCTGCCTCTATCAATGAGGGACTGCACAGAAGACGTAAAGAAGAACGGACAGTTATTTTGGACACACACATAAAAAGGAAGCCACCCCATGGTCTCCGTTAATCAAGAGGAACTAAGTTGATGGATAAGCAAGACAAAGCATTTTCTATTGCACGACCCAGACTACAACGCATTTTGAGATAATTCAAGCTGGCTACATCCGCGCTGAGTTTTAGATAGACAGTAAAAACTGTGTTATGAAGCTTTTGATAATCCTGGTGGGTTTTCAATGTTATTTGGGTCAGCTCGAAATAATGCTTTGGCTTTGCCTTTTTTGTTTTTTATTTAACTTTTTACATTAGTATTTTTATAGTATAAAGGACTATGATTGGATACAAAAAATTTATAAATGCTAATAATATTATTTGTAAGCCAGCATGGTCTAAGGCACTGTTTCTCAACCTTGGCAACTTTAAGATATGTGGACTTCAACTCCCAGAATTCCCCAGCCAGCAGGGAATGTTGAATTGTAGTCTTGTCTTAGGCACAGAAGCCAAATGGAAAATTGTGGGCCACTGCCGCTCTCATCTTCAGGGGAGGGGGGGGGGGGGGACTTCCAAAAATTCTGTCCAGGAAACTGCATGAACCTATCCACGTAGTCACCAGGAATGAAGTCTGACTTGAAGGCAAAACAAACAAACAACAACAAAAAAAAGAACTGTTATTATTACTAAAAATTAAGCCACCGCTACAGGGAGAAAATACCCACGTGTTTTTAATAATAGACACTGGCTTCTGCTAGTTAAGGGGATGAGGATAAGTAAGAAATAAAACAACTCCTCCCTCTTCCTTCCTCTTAAAAGATCTGATTAGTCTTACCTTGGAGCATGAGAGCTGAAGCAAGCTATTTG